CAGAGCTTAGCAGGTCATCATGTTTAAAAACCCGCTTTTGTTTGTCTCAAAGGCTTTCCTTTTTTTATAATATATATATATATATATATAAACATTGAGTTGACAATGGCGGAGATTTCATGCTCAGCTTGAGGAAATGTGGGATTCCCAAGACTTGTCCCATGAACACAAAGAGCGGCTGCTGCTGCTAATGCAGAGCAAGAGAATAACAGCGACACTGGGATTTATTTAGCAAGGTAACAAGGAAAATATAAACAGGTTGGGAACGCACACGACCAGTGAATAACTCCCGCTGGATTTAACAAGTCACTTCCTAAAGCTTGTATATATATTTTTAACTTCTTTCTTACTCTGATGCTGCTGGAGAAATAGCCACTTAGCCTACCTGGGGGAGACTTTGGGAGATTTTCTGAGTGTTTGGGCACCTTTCACTGAATCTGCTTGGCCAGGATATGGCTGCAATGGGGACAGGGGAGAGACCAGAGTCTGTTCGCCCTCATCCAAAACGCTGCGGCACAGGGGGACCCCGGGGGCCACATCCATTGCTCCACGTGGGGACTTCTTGTTTTTCCCTCCTGCTATAGCAGAGTTCGTTTATTATCGTCCGTCACATATGTTTTTGGACAGGGAATGATTCTTGCGGCATTTAAAAGATACCGCTGGGAATTGTGCTGTCAGCACTCCAAGAACGGCGGGGAAGGCCAAAAATAACTGTTTACCCTCAGTAATGACAGCGCACAGGCCTCCCCCGGGGTGGGCGCAGGGCCCGGCCCGCCGGGGCCATGTGCACATCAAAGTGAGAGGTCAGGGCACACCTGGCTCCTGAGACGGGCAGGACCTGCTTTTTAAGGAATAAAACCCCAAACTAGCCGCTGGATCATGACTCCATCTCGGACAGTGTGTATCTTTGGTTGCCTCCCGTCCTCCCTCTGCTTTGTTGGGAGAGCCAGGGAGGTCCAAGATGCCACAACGCGCTGGACAGGATGGATCTGCCCCGCAGCATTCCCGACTCCCTGAAAACCCACCCCAAAGCGGTGAGAGCCGGTGACTTTGGTGGAAGAACCTCGTGGAAAGGCACGATGCTCCCAGCAGCGACACGTGGGCAGGGAGGCATCCGTGCAGCATCGGTGCTGCGTGGCCCTAACCCTCCGTGTCTTCTCCCGCAGTTCCTGGGGTACCTGCGTGCCTGCGACCGGCTGCTGAAGCAGGGCTACGAGGAAGGGCAGGTGGAGGAGGCCATGGAGATGTTCCAGTACTCGGAGAAGAAGGTGAGAGCGGGATGGCGCCCAGGGCTGCGTCCCCATGCCCCGAACGTGCTCCGGAGCCTCCTGGGTGAGCAGGTCCCCTTGCTCTGCCCTGCTGCATGCAGGTGCCCAACGCTGCCGTGCGGCATTGCACGGCCCATGGGAAGTGGGTGTTCCTCGTTTTTTGGGGGGCAGACGGCCATTTTTTGAGAACGTGGCTCCAGGTGGGACATTGTGGCAAGGAGACCCATCTTCAGGAAAGGAGGAGAAAAGCAGAGCAAATAAAATCCAGATTGTATTTATTGGCTCTCCCTGGTTTGGTGTAATAGCACTGCAATGCGCACAAACACTTCCCTGGAATTCGCATTTAATTTTATGAGCAGCAAGTGAAGATAGAGTCTCGCTTTATTAAGTATTTCTTGTGGAAAGAAGTTGGAGTAAAGGACAGCTTTTAGAAACTAGCCTGTGTATGCCTGCCCCCCGCCCGTCTGCTTTTGGCAGTGCCCAAATCCACTGCCGCCTTATCCGGCCCTGCGGTGACATCGAGGTGAATCTGCTTTAAAAAGCCCAGGATAAAACCGCTCCTCTCTCTTCCTCCTTCCCTTTGCAGGCAGCCGAATTCCTGCATCTCCTGGCCCAGTTCAACGACATGGGTTTCCAGCAGAACGAAATCAAGGAGGTGCTGCTGCTCTGCGAGAACCACAGGGAGAAGGCGCTGGAGGAGCTCATGACGCAGAGGCAGTGAGCGGCGCTCACGGCCCCGGCTCGTCTTCCCATTGCCGTGGGACACGGAGCAGAGCTGCTGCAGCTGGGTCCTGCCTTGCCCCGCTCGCAAACGCGGTCAGATGTAGCTTCTTAAAATCTTCAAATCAGCAGGATTGTTTCCGTAAAAGCCAAAGACTTTTCTAGGAACATTGGTTGTTCCTTTCTGGAAAAGACTGGCTTAGGTTTGAGTATTGTAATCAAAATGGAGTCAGATCCTATTAGCATCTCCTTTTAAATGAGAAAATTAAGATGTATTTTGGTAAAGGTTAGAAAAGAAAGCATACTGCTGTTGTTTGAGGTAGCTAATGCACTAAGTTTATCCAGTAAGTTGAGAAATGGCTCATGCAAGGGTTTGTGCTGCACGTGCTCGGGAAGTTTTGTGGAATCTGAAAGGGAAACACGGAAGAGTGGCTCTGCTCTGCCTACCACAGAGCGCTCCGCTCTGTGCCCAAGTGAGGAAAATTCAGGAAAGGTCCCCCTGAACTGTGACGACAGCAGCTCAAAGTCAAGTTCTGCACAAGTGTCAAGCCCAGGAAAATCTGGAGACACAAGTGAATTTTTGTGTATATATGAAATAGGGAGGACAGACTATTCAAATCACCTTCCTAGACGTTTCTTTGGCTTTGGCAGTGTAACAATGGATTTTTTTTTTCACAGAAAGTACATTATTTTCCTTTGAATTAGATACAGCTGTAATTTCTTTGAGTAAAGATTGTGGGAGAGGCTTTTCAATGTATTTACTGTGTCTTTTCAAATGGAGAAGCCAACTGGCACGACTTAGCAGAGACGGCTCTTAATTAGTTGCAAAATGTTTACCATTTTTCCATCTCATCCTTCCAGCAGATCTCTTAGCACAACACTCTTCCACCCCGCCAAAACAATCCCTCTTCCTTCCCTGTTTCTGTTAGCAGCTTGCGAACCCCAGGACGCAGGAATACACCTCCATGGCGATGTTCACCCTTGTCTTTTTCTTCTATTTTAGTCTAATTTTTGTGGGCTCCAAGAGCATGATATCCGCACACTCTCCTTGCTGATTGCTGCTTCCCGTGGATGTGGAGCGCAGACAGGGAGTTTTGAGGCTACATGGAAAGAGTTCCTTTGCCCGTATCCAAGAGCTTTATTTCATGAAGATCTGCGTTTCTCTTGATTTTCTGGCATTAAGTGGGAACTGTAAGCACCAAATTGTGGTTTCAGCCTAAAGATCCAGTGATGCCTCGCTGCTCCGAGCAGACAAACATGCTGTGTTGAGCCCATCTGTGCAGCGAGCTCTCGGTGTGCGCGGAGAGCGCGCAAGGCTCTTCTCACACCCCTGTTTTTCCTGCAGGAGATTTTGCCTGGTTATACAAGCTTTTATTTTTGATACGGCCCTTATAAGGCAAGTCCATTTACAGACAGCTTTTCATGACATGCGTCCTTGCCAAGATGATGTCACCTTAAAGAGAAACTTGCAAAAGGTTAAACTCTGATTAGATGCATCGCCCAGCCTCCAGCTGTACCCTTTGGCAAAGTCAACACCATGAAGATTTAAAGGGCTGGATAAGGGAGGCAGGTCCGTGCCAGCGGTGCCTAACGTGGAGCACTAAGTTCTGGAGAAGCAGGTCGAGCTCATGGGTGGCACCGCTCGCCGGGCAGCGGCCGGGCAGACGCGCGCTGTGGTTTGCGCTTCTCCTGGTCATGGCCCACGGGTTTTTCCACCGCAGTTTGCAGAGCTAAGGGCAGTATCTTTTCCCACTGCAGCTGGAGAGCCTCGTGCAGCTGAGCTGTGAGGACAGCGAGAAGCTAAGCCAGTGGTTTCGCTGCCTTGGGTTATTCTCTGTAGTGCTTTCTACATAGATAGATGCAACCAAGATATCCATCTCTTGGGAGCATCCATGCCACGCGCACTAGCGGCTGCCAAGACTTGCTTTTTCTCTCCAGTTGCACTTAAAATCTTAAAAAACTTGTGCATTTTATCAGTAATTATCTCCCCAAACCTGTGAGCTATGGAAAAAAGGAAGAGGAAAGAAGGTATGAAGGTGGGGCTAGAGGTTGTGTTGTCTGGTCTTTCCAACGCTGGAAGGAGAGGACAAGCCTGCCAAGCTAAACTGCCTTGGTTTAGTTACAGAAGCCTGCCGGGACTATTTTAACAACATAATTATTTTAACTTTATTTTAATAGAGGATTTTAGCTGATTATTCAGCTTAAAAGGGTTTAGACACAGCGCCTCGCATGTGCCGCTTTTAGGAAGGAGAAGACAGCAGAAAATGTTAATTGGCTTCATCCAAGAGGGAGCCGGGATCTGACTCGCTGGAATCTGTGCTAACAGCTTCCGTGGGCGCGTGTCAGCTTCCCAGGGCACGGCGCAGCACTGATCCTGGATTCCTCCCTGCAATTGGCCTGGGTAACGTAGGAGGCTCTAGGAAGGAGGACGGAGAGGGAAAGAAACACAGCCTTGTTGTAGGAAGCAGTTGTTGGGTTGTTCCTGAGCATCCTTGTGTCAGCTAAAGCTCCATTTCAGAGAGAAATAAAGAGATTTTTAGCACAGGAAATCAAAGATGATTCTGAGTTCAGCTGAGCCAATGAAGGGCAAACCAATTGGAGACCAGGAATGAGTCTACAAGAATGGGCATCCTCCTTGGATTTCCACCTGGAATCAAAGTTTTCAGGGCAGATACTTTAGTTGTTGGACAGGGTTGTCTTGTTCCCAGAGGACATGATTGTCTTCAGGTCAGCAAAGAAACATGTCCAGGAGAGACCAAGTCAAGATGCCTTGGTCTTACAGACCTTGTCCTGGCATGAGCTGTGGTGACATCAGGCCACAGATTTTCAAGTGCAGCAGCAATCGGTTGGCCTCTATGGCACAGACTGACACCAAGAGGCTCTTCTGAACTATTGCTGTACGTACTGCAGGCGCTTGATGGTCCTCATTGAGGAGCAATATGTATCTGAAGCACCTTCCCATGCTCCGTGTCCTGAGATGCTCCTTGTGTCACCATCGGGCTTCGGTCTTAGCTAGATCCTGCTGACAGAGGGCAAATGGGGACAGGCGCATGGAGGGTTTTGAAAGACGGACACTGATCCGAGACGGCCTTTTTTTTTAATGCAGTAACTGTTTTGAAAATGCTGAGAACATGGCAAGGGTCAAAGTGTAAGCATTTGAGGCATCCCCACGGGTATTCTCTTCCGCTGCGGCCGGGGATGCGCTGGCAGCTGGGAGCCTCCCTGGTTTATGGGAAACCACTTGTGCAATGCCCGGGGGCAATGCCGGCTTTGCCAGCGGCGCGGGAAGAGCCTCGGATCTCCATCACACCTTGAACCCTCTTTGGTGTCCCACCTTGGAGGGACAGACACAGAGGTAAGGCCAAGACGTGCAAGCGCTTGGGGCTGGTCCAGCAGGCACGTCGCACCGTGCACAAACCAGCACAGCGCAACGGGATGGCACGTGTGGCCGTGTCCCAGCACGACGAAGTCGGGACTGGACCTGGTCCTGGTGACGCGCTTCTCTGAGCAGGGCCGTTGTACCGATGCCGTTGGCTCCTCTTCTCCTCCTCGTGTTTCCCTGGCCCGGGCTCGACTTTGCTTTATGATTTCAGGAGCAGCCGCTGGTGCCAACGCACAAATATCAGCCTGGAACAGACCAGTGCCCGCTGCCCAGGCCGGCTGCCAGTTCCCATCAGCGGGGGGTTTGTTCCCCTC